AACCATTTTGAAAAATTAGTTTTTTTACTCTCTAGAAAATAATTTATGCAACCTAACATACGCGGTTTTGCATTTTGTTGATACGCTCTTTTGTACTTTAAACGACGATATGATTGTTTGTTATATACTGGCTAAACTTCTGTAATTTATGATTGTGCCATAACTGAATGAATTGTGCCAAAAGTGCCCTTGTGAATGAAAGTGCCAAAAATGGCACTATTGTGCCAACTTTTCCATCACTGCCATGGTCTCTGCTTAAGTCACGCATTGAGTCTTATTGCTTTCAAACTAACCATCTCTTTAATTTCGCTTTTAAATTATTATTAAGTAACTGTTAACCTAGTCAGTAAGGTTTGTTACCATTGACTAATAAAATGAAATTATTTTAATACAGAATTTTGTAATTCAGTATTTTTAATTGGTTTGACAAATAATCTATTACTGGAAATAAGTATAACTCGAAATATTCTCCTTAGTTTTGGTCAGTACATGACAAAAATGCATCGGAAACAGACACCTCTTCTAGAACGCAAAACGGTGGCTTCGCCGGCTAAAAGTTGTTATTGGAGGAAGAAATTCCTAGTTATATTATCTTGTAATGAATTTAAAGCAGAGCTGGACAATTTTTGCTCGCGAACAACGCCCGCGTCGCAGTTCGTATACGTACCCAGCAGGGATGAAAAAGCAGGTACAATTCCGACTTATCCGAGCCAAAAGGTACATTCGGTACACTGAGCTCAATTAAGGTACAATTAGACGATAATAATAATAATATAGATTGGCGCTTACACATAGGTTAGTGTTTGGCCGAGCTTCTCCTCCGATTTGTGGCGTGCGCCTTGATGTTGTCACACAAAGCGGAGGGTCCTACAGTTTTACGCCGACTCCGAACGGCGATTGTATTTTTATGAAAAGCTGATTTTCATGGCAGATATACACTCATAGGTTTGCCATTGCCTGCCGAGGGACGACCGCTGTTAAGAAAAACCTTTTTTCTATATTTTATGCGATGTTGCTTTGACCAGGGTTTGAACCCAGGCGTTGCGGAGAGGAAGCGCACACTGCTTACCACTACACCACAGCGGCCGACTACACCACAGCGGCAAGAAACCTTTGCAAAGTGACCAAGTTCCTTTATTAAATTCTTTGCGAACAGTAAAAAAAACTTCTCACGTTTTGAGGGATTTCTAGCAAAGTGGCTACACTGCATGTGCACCAATTTCAATTGTGAATAAGTTGAAAGTGCGGAAGAATATAATTAAAGGCGGAAGTATCTGTAATCTGATTGTACTATGGCGGGAATTTATTCTTGCAACGATGGATAAGTATATACATATAAGTAAGATAGGAAAAATTTGAGTAAAATTTTAGCTCAAGTTCGGCTGCCCACGAAGTATCACATAACGTTTTGTATCAAAGGCCTGTAGTGCGATTCGGTAACTTGTTTAACGACATTCGCAGTGGCTAATTTAGCTAAACGATAATTTTAAAGATTTTGCTATTCAATAAGTACTTTCTTATCGATATTCGCTAAGTCAAAATCAGCTGTTTCGTTAACGATTCGTTTATGGTTAAGTTATTGACATCTCATTTGGTGTTGTTAAGTTTGAGTTAACCAAACGAATTTGCGCGCAAGTAAATCCAAAGTGAATTTATATTAAAGAAATGGCGTTTGAATATGTGGCGTATAGTTTACACCGAAACTATGGAGTTAGAAATACCCCCACAGTGGATCGGCGTTTGCTCCGGGACATTCACGATCCATTTGAGCTGGCGCCTTCCGAGTTCCGGAAGCTATATCGTGTGGGCCCAGAGACTGCAATGGAGCTCATCCAGCAGCTGGAAATCCAATTGAAAGGTAAAAGGATTACCTCAATATCGGCGGAAAAATAGGTAAATCTTTAAATAATGACAGCATGCAATTTTGGATATGTAGTATGTATACAATAATTTCTCGGGTACGGTTTAGTTATTTGTACAATGTGCCCAAACGCGTGACTCGAATCTAAAAAGTTTAACATACGCGTGTATTCCAAGGATTAAACTTTAATTTAAAACAAAGATTTCAAATTTCCAAGCGCTAGTTTATAAATAAAATCGGTTTTAATTATGGACTTTTTTGTAAGTTTCCATGTTGAAATGCTAATGGGGTGAACCCATTTTCAAATGGGCCCCCGGTAGTCTGTAGAGGGGAGGGATGACTTTCCTTAAAGTTTTGACTGTGTTCTTTCTAACGGGTATGGTTTTAGGAGCCACACCATCTCCCCCTCCGCTCCGCATCACAAAATCATTATACAAATAACTAAACATTTCCCAAATAATCGTTTATCTTTGAAGGTTTTGTGTATACTACGCTTCTATGCCACAGGATGCTACCAACGGCCTGTAGGGGAACAGTTGGGCATATCAATGAGCCAATCATCTATAAGCCGTTGTATAAGTACATCGCGTAACTGATGCCATAAACAGTGGACTATTTTTTGAGGAGGTTAAGTTCCCTATGACGCAGGTGGACCGTCAAGCTGCCAAGGAAGTGTTTGCTTCAGCACCTGCGCCTTTCGTTTGAGGAACTATTGGAGCAGTAGACTGCACGCATGTTTCTATTTTGGGTCCTAAAACTCATGAGGAAGCATAGGTGAACCATCATGGCTATCACTCGATAAATGTTCAAATGGTGAGCTAAGTATTTTAAATAAAAGTCGAGCGATAAATATTTGTTATGCTTTTATGGATATGTGACCCAAATTTAAACATACTGAACGTCAATGCTAGGTTTCCGGGAGCACGAGATGACTCTTACATTTGGAGTTCCTGTCCAGTGCGGCGAGTCATGCAGAGAGCTTTTGACAATGGAAACCCCAACATGCTTTTGATTGGTATTCTTTTTAATTCACTTTAAAATGTACATAATTTAAAATGAAGTTCCTTTCAGGCGATTCTGGATACCCCTTAGAGCTTGGCCTTTACCGAACCAACCTGAGGGTACTCCTAAGTTTTGGTACAACGAGGCGCTATGCAAAGCTCGAAATCCAGTAGGGAAACTATTTGGAGTGCTTAAAGGAACTTGGCGATGCTTAACACAACAACGAGTGTTCCTATACGTTCCTGGTTTTGCTGGTAAGGTTGTAAATGCGTGCTCAACCTTGCATAATATAAGTTTCCGCGAGCAAATAAATGAACTGGACAATAATATAATTTTAGAAGCAGAAACACATGCACATGCAGACGGTACCGACTATAAATCAATTTTGGTATCTTCCATTGGCAAATGTGTCCAAGACCGAATAATTACTAATTTTTTCTCCTAAATACTTTTTTTTTGGGCATTTTATCTAAAATTATAAAAGCCTCGTAACCACGTAAACTTAATTAATTTTGTATCGAAAACCAGTTTATTTACAAGTTACGAGGCATTTATGCTTTTAGATGAATACCTATTTTATTTTAAATTTACATGTTTATCTTCGCACTAGATTTGTCTTCTAAATACTTAAAGTTTTTTCTTTTGAATTTATATACAATCAATCACAGAAGTTTTCGTAATATCGTTTTTCATAATATTCAAAATATTTTCAATATTGAACTATCTTTGCAAATTTGTATTCAAAATACACCTCATTCTATAACAAAAACCTTAGAAATCAATCTTGTAAACTTTGTACAATGTTCACAAAAATTTATCAAACTTAAAAAAACGTTAATCAAAATTTCCAACTCTTTATTCAGAATCTTTAGAAAATTTTCGAGTATGCAGTTTTGTAGCCCATTCAATTTCAGGATAATAAAATAAAAGTTTTATGTCGCTACAAAATACCGTTAATATTTTAGATTTCTTTTGTCGAGGGTGTTATGCATTTTGTTCCACGTAAAAATTGATTTTTTTCATTCGTTATATGGAAGAAAGTGCTGAACACCCTCGACAAAAGAAATCTCAAATATTAACGGTATTTTGTAGCGACATCAAACTTGAATTTTATCTTACCGAAATTGAATGGGCTACAAAACTGCATACTCGAAAATTTTCTAAAGATTCTGAATAAAGAGTTGGAAATTTTGATGAACGTTTTTTTAAGTTTGATAAATTTTTGTGAACATTGTACAAAGTTTACAAGATTGATTTCTAAGGTTTTTGTTATAGAATGAGGTGTATTTTGAATTCAAATTAGCGAAAATAGGTGAAGATTGAAAACATTTTGAATATTATGAAAAACTATATTACGAATACTTCTGTGAGTGACTGTATACACTATAACCGTATAAAGCAAAAATTAAAATATATTTGAAAACTTTATAAATTTTATATAACTTCTTAGTCTAAAAAGTACTTCGAAGCTATTTTATTTTTTTATCAAAGAACAGTAGGTGGTTTACCAATAACGAACAAGGTACAAAATAATTATTTTAAAACATAAAAGGAAAAAATAAGTAATTCATTTTGAAAATTAAAACAAAAACTATAAAATTAACTCCTGTATGATATGTGTACACTTAACAGCAAAGTCTGCATACACCATTCATTTTTTAAATATTCGCAATATTTTGCAAGCTAAAATTAGTTGTTTTTTTTTTTTATAAAAATATGGATCATCCTTAAAACAAAATCATACAAAGCAAGATTTCAAGTTTTATACAAAATTAAGGAAAATTCAACGATTTTTAATGAACACTTAAATTTTAGTATAACAATGTGTAAAAATGAGGTTGCTACGAAATCGCGTTGATTTTTAATTTCATGCGCAATAAAACTGCGTACTTGAAGTTATTTTATAAAATCTGATTAAAAAGTTGAAAGTGTCGATTAAAAATCGTAGAATTTTCCTTAATTTTGTATAAAACTTGAAACCTTGCTTTGTATGATTTTGTTTTAAGGATGATCCATATTCTTATAAAAAAAATAACAAACGAATTTTAGCTTGCAAAATATTGCGAATATTTAAAAAATGAATGGTGTATGCAGACTTTTGCTGTTAACTGTTAAGTAAAACTTAACTTAAAACTACAATTTACATTTCTTAAAACCTAAATTATTAATATTATTTACGAGTTGCGGAGAGTACTCGCGAGTCGGTTAAAACCCTCGGCACAGGCTTTCATCCCTTCGCTAAGGACGGTCATAGACTGCGCCATTGCAAGCATCCCCTCCGTCTGCCTTGCGGTATTTTCAGCCAGCATCTATTGACAAAACGTATATATTAATACGATTTATGTAAACCATATCTAAAAATAATTACTTCTCGCCTTCAAAACATCCGTTTGTCTGGAATTGTTTTCAGCCAGCATCTATTGATAAAAAGTATATATTAACACGATGTTTTTAAAATATAATCAGCCCTATCGCCAATTTCATGTGAATAAATTGTGCCCATTATTTGACATGCAAAACAAAAACAAATTGGGAAAAATTGTTTTTGTTTTGCTTTATAATTTTTTGGAATATTTGTTCACGTTAAATTCGCGATAGGGCCTAGTATCTAATACAAATCGACAACAAATCCGACCTGTGGCATTTGACCATAGTTTCATATGTAAAACTTTCCGCTGAACCCAAATATCAAGGCAAAATAATATAAGAATGTATAACAGTTTTTGACATATAGCCAAATTTATGTTTTTTGGGATCTGAAAAAAGGTCTCTCAAGGTATTGCTTTTTTTTTGTTGATATAGTCAATCTGCAATCTCTTTTAAATTTAGACTTTAAAATTATAGACTTTACTAAATAGACTTTACTAAATTTTAAGACATCTCAGATTGCAAAAACGTATAAGAACTTTTTTCAGATCTCAAAAAAAAAACATTTGGCTGTATGTAAAATCTGTTATACATTCTTGTATTATTTTGCCTTAATATTCGGGTTTAGCGAAAAGTTTTACATATGAAATTATGGTCAAATGCCACAAGTTGAAATTTTTATTTTTTATTTCTGTAAACTTGTGTAATTATTTCTCACCTTCAAGGCATCTGCTTGCTTCTCAGCGATTTCCAGACATTTTTTCTGGACATCGCTTTCTTCCTCCGCCCCCTTCCTCTTCAAAGTCCTACGCGGTGTTTGCGGAGGAGTTTTAGGTGTGCTGACCTGCACCTCGCTGTCGGCTCCAAACACTGACGCTGGCGTCACCGCATGGAAGACAATATCCTCCCCATCCTCCATGACCAATTGAAGCTCCTAATAGTTTAAAAGTAAATTAAAAAAGCAGTAAATAATAATAGAAAGATTTGTATAACTATAAGCTGACCTCTTCCAATGGCACATTGTCAGGAACCGCTTCGTGACCCTCGATGTAGTTGATCCCAATCAGATCAATTACCCGCCTCTCCATCTCCGTTAAAGGCGGCTGATCGATGCTGCCTCTTCCGGTCACGTACACGTACGCTTGTACGGCTTTTTAAGTCGCGCCAGACCTGTTTGCAAAGTAATGAAATACATAGTTAACAAATATGTGGTATATAAAGCCAGGCTGTAAGGCCAAGAAAATAAAATGTTAAGCTATTTTTACAACGATTTTGGGGTAGAGAGCGTAGGGGGTATTGGCGCGGCCCCCCAAACCTCCCTTAAAAGAAAGAGGATGGACCGCACTTTATGAAAAGACACCTTGATTGCAAAAATACCATATCTCAAACTTAAATTATAAATAAATTAATGCACGGCTATGGTAAACCTTTTGCTTAAATAAAGTGTATACTCTTGTCTATAAGTGTGTGTAAACGTTTTTTGATTCGGGTCACACGTTTGGGCACAGCAACCCAAAGTCATTGCACAAATAACTAAACCATACCCAATATGTAAAAATTAATTTGAACACTAAAATTTACTTTTCCGAATTAACCAACAACCTGAATCTTCATTTGCACATTTTAGTTAAAAAATTGTACTTCAAGTATGTACATATATATATACTAATTGTTTTTTTATCGCACTCTCGAAAACTGCTTCCTATATACACACACATAAAACACAAGATAAGTACTTACCGAATGCCATTGTTCCACAGACTTCCTCCATTTCCGCCCACTTCTTTTGGTACTCCAGCTTTCCGTGGAGACGCTGGAACTTTCCGGAAGCAAGCCCTTCGTTCTCCGTGAGAAGGTCGATCATCACGTTGAGCTGCTCCGTTGATACCCGACTCCTTTTAGCTCCTGCTCCACTGGTAGACGCCATTCTGAAATTACATATATATAAGAACAAAGTAAATTCTTATACATATTAATTAAATAAATAGCAAAATATACTTCCCTTTGCTGCAATATGTAGACGCAAATTAGCGGCGCGAACAAATGGCTTTGTTTTTTTTTCTGTTCCGCTTTGTGCTTTTCGCCAATTTGACATTTCGAACAGCGGAGATGCCACTTTTTATCAATTTGAATTAATGGAAAAAGTCAGCTGTTCACTGTCGTTAGGAATGAGTTAGTGAATCGCATAATCGTTATCGACAACGACAAAAATCCTTAATTAACAACTCGACAAATGCAACGTTAAGAGTTACCGAATCGCACTACTGGTTTGCAAAATAGACCCAAATGCTTAATGTACGCAGTGCAATCCAGGCCCAATGGAAAGCCTCGAGCATCTGCTCTTCAAGTACCCGATTTATTATTCCTTTAGGGACTACTACCTAGGAACACTTCTAAAAGAGTTTGAAAGCAATCCAATGCATATATATTTCAACTGACCGATCAATTTACAGTCAACATGGTGTACCTCTATTTTGTGTTAACTGTGTACGATTCAGAGCCAACATATGAAATGAAAAAATTGTGTAAACTAATGCCGTTTTCTTAAATAGTTTTTTAAGTACTTTCACTTTCGGTATATTTTTGAATAATTATGTAATTCTCAAACCTGTAAACTCAAATGTAATTATTAGAAAGCCTGCTTAAAAAATACAGTTTATAAGCAGGGTTAAATCAAATGAATGAATGAATGATAACGAAAAAAAGTATACCCCTTATTTATATCAAAAAATATTTAGAGGTCGCTCAAAGAGCTCAAAGTTTGTAGTTTATATGGGGGAAAAAACAAGTTTTCGTAGAAATGGTATAGAATTCCTGCAAATAATATTTTTTGATCGGAAAACGTTGCTTCTCTTTGGGATACTGCCAATAATAATATCCAATTGTTTATTTTACCATTGCATTTTTTGAGGGTGTTAGGGGCCCTATAAAGGCGCTGGCCCAATGGCTTGCTTTGCTTGCTTAGCTTTGAAAACTGTCAAAAGTTATTTGGAATATACTAAAACGTATGAAGGGTGGCCAAATGGCAGCTTTGCTTCACTTGCTTTAAGCGCCTCAAAGTTTCAAATAGGCAAATGTTTTATTTGAAAGCGTTTCATAGGCTTTTGACAAAAAGATATGTTCCCGTTCTAAATCAATTCAAGCAAACTGCTGCAGACTTTTATGTAGATACAAAAATTGTTTTACGTAATTTAAAAAAATATATGTATAATATTAGTAATTCAAAGTGTAATAAAAAGTAATCTAAGTTTCCATATTTATATTTAACATGTCGCTGGCTTAAAGTGAAAAGTTGCTAAGTCCAATTTTACAAATTTTACAGGAACTCTGAATACAACATTTTGCGTGTTTAAAGCAAAGCAAAACTCCATACAAATCAGAAGGATTCGATCTCTGTTAAAAAATTCGTATTATTTTGGCCATATTGCATATTGAATATAAACGAGAAAAAATAAAACAAGTATCTACCTTAGTCCTCAATTTCTCTTACTTTCTATGCCAAAATTTGAGGCTTCATAAAATGCAGACTTATTAACTTTTCACACAAAGCTAGCGATATTTATTATGTCAAACTACTGGTAAGTCGTCTCTTGAAAAATCGATTTTTTTGAGTTTTTTGTTTCTAATAAATGTACATATAGTTATATATGTATGTATAATTATTATCATTCCTTTGAAATGCAAAAATTAATTCACATTCATTTAAAAATAAATCTGAAAATATTGTTTTGTATTGTTTTTTTTTATTTGTCAATGTTATTGTGGCTTGTTAACATTTTATTTTTAATATTTT